CGTCTATTTTATTGTCTTTTTCTGACGCTTTAAAATACTGCCAGACTGGTGAAGCCATTTTGGCGAGCTTGTTTTGCCGCGCACAGAGAAAAGTGTCATGTATTTTACGTCATAATTTTACGTCATGCGATCGGCTCTCGCGATCGGCATTTTTAGAGAGCACCGATTGATCGGCAGAGAGTGAGTATCGGCCGATATCGTTGGGCGGCCGATCGATCGGAGGATCACTAGTTCTTTGTAATGGTCACTGATTAATTTTCTGATAATCGACAAAAAGTTTTAGGCCAGCAGAAACCTTTATCCAATGTGACTTCTATCAATAACAATCTAAATGTTGTTGTTTTGGAACTCGAGTATCTAGGGTTAGGGTTAAGCTTAGGCTACAACTTGTGGAATCCTTGAGTTGAAGGTTTGTTGTTGAAATCCTAAGTGATTTAAAAAATGCTACAATTATGTTCACATTTGGATTAATTTTAATTGGATTTTCTGACGTATCTGTTGACCTCCTTCTGAAACTAAAACAAGTTCCAACATGTTTGTCTTGCCAGTTTGTGCGATTTCTTTACAACTTAAATTTTTGGCTGTGTCATAAGTATTTAATAGCTTTTTCAGAAGTCAAAAAGTGGGTGTGTGTGGCGCTGTTGACTGGATGTTGATCTTGCAGTGGTTGTCAGTTTCTGTAACTGATTCTGTGTCTCTTCTTTTCCAGGAAACGCCCAACGCTGTTTTCCTGGTCATGGAGGTAAGTTTAGAAACGTGACTGTCTGCTCTTCTGATGATTCAGAGCTCATATCCTCTCCCATACTTTCTTTTTTAGCCTAGAAAGTAGTTGGTTAATCTTCAATGCTACAGTATGATGAGATCTCAGAACTCAGGACAAGGCGTATATTTTCATACGTATTTCTTAACAAAAAATGAAATGATAAATGATGTAACTGTTTACCCCACACTCTGGCTGTCAGCATTTGTTGTTTTTTTGGCATGCTGTCGCCCCCCTCCCTGTCATTTCCTTCCTCTCTTGTTTTTCTTCATATTGTTTCTATAAAGTCTCTCCGAGCTGGCTGACAGCCTCTGCATGCTCCCCAACTTTCCCTGGTTGTTACGCAACTCTGCTGGCTGCAGGGGAGAAAACAAACCTCAATTTACTCTCTGAAAACACACCCCTCTGCTTTCTAGGAATCCCATTCCCTGAAAGCCTTTGCTTCAAATCTTGTTTTCATCTATGTTCACACAGTTTTAGAGTATACTCCATCAATAATCCTTAGGAATTATAGCATGTTTGGATCAGCAGCCATACCAAGAGGTTACATTAATTTACAGAAAACCTTTTTTAATATGTTGTTTTAAAGCTGACAGAAGAAAGTCAAGTTAGTTATTATAGAAAAATAACTTTTTATTACAGCTATTAAATGCTTTCCAGAGTATTCTTGTAGTCATGCCCTTGCTGCAGTTCTAGGCATGGACTTCAGCCTGGTTAAATCAATACTGATGAAAAAGCTTGGTTAACTTCTGTGTAAACTGTAAGCGATCCAAACAGAATGACAACTTGATTGATGGCTAACTGCATAGCTCCCCTGGTCTGAAGCTCTATACATTCTTACCATTAAAGGGTAAAGCTTTGCTAAGCCTCAACTGAACCCTCAATACGAAGGTGACGTCAATCAAAGACTTATTACTCTGCAGTTAGATCAGCAAAAACTAAATTAGATTAAACGTTATCAGAGGCTACAATCAGGGAGTTTTTTGCAAGCTTGACAAAGGTAGTAAGGTTTTATTATGTTGCTTTTAGTGGATCATTCAGTGTTTACTTTTTCATCTCCTAGTCTTTTTAAAGTACAATGTTGTTTCAGACCACACTTACAGCTTGTTTAATATCATTACACTTTCTGCCAGAGGTTGAAAATAAAATGAAAACAGAGAATAATAGCAACATACCAGTAGTAATAATAATTCATTCTATTTAGCCTTTCAAAGCACCCAACGACAATTCATAAAATAAAGAATGAATATGCTTCTGTACAAGAACCAAGGGCTAACTGAATGGTTTGATGAGTTTAAAAATAATGTAAATAAGCTGTAGCTATCACCAGATTTCAGCATCAGGAGTCAGAAATGTTGTATCTTTCCCAAAGCGGAGAAATGTACATTGTCTATAATAATCCAGTCTTGCTTGTATATGAGTAGTGCAGGAATGAGTGCCTAAAACCTTTAAAAGAGTTTACCACCTCTGATTCCCTTGTCTCAAAGTCATTATTTCTTTTAACTTCTTTGGGGTTGGATGCCTGAAATATGATCTGTGTTTAACACAAACTTAGGAGATTTTGTTGCAGGACATACAATATGTGAGTAGACAGTCAACACCCAACTAGTGAATCTCTGAAGCTGCTATGTGTCATCAAAATGGCAGTTTCCTAAAAGTGACTGAATAAATTACTTAACTTCATCACGGCAACACAAGTTTAGCTTAGCGGTAGTGATGCCCAGCCATGCTACCGTGATATCGTTATTTCATAGCCTAGCATTAGCTTTTTACTTCTAGCGATAGCATTTCCGCTTCAAAAAGTTATGGTATGTGGCAATTATTTAGCTGAACCGAACATGTTAAGTATCATAAAGGTCTGTTGGCAAAAGATGCGATGCTAACTTCTGAGTCGCCCTACAAAAATATGTCAACCCTGCACCGCTCCACTCTATTGCTCATCCCTCAGTCAGCAGTTAACTTTATTTACAATTTCCACACCAACCTTATCCGTCTGTTCTTGTTGTCCCTCTTGAGAACTAAGCAGAGGTTGTCAGCCCAGATAAAGCTCCAGTCTGTCAGCAGATTCATTAATGATCCTGCCATTATCTGGGCTAGGATTTGAACAAACATTGTTACCCATATACACGCCGAAACATATTTGCATGCCAAATACCATAATTATGGTTCCCAACTTGACATTGCTGAGCCTGAATTTGCTGATGTTGATTGTTTCCTCTCCCCACACAGTACTGTAATGGCGGTGATCTCGCAGACTATCTGCAAGGTAAGCATCACACTAATCTGTCCGACACACACTCTCAGATTATTGTTATTCATAAAAAAAAAATACTGCAGAGGAGGAAAAGCCATGTGACGGCATCTATCATGAGTGTAGGTGTGGGAATGAGTGCACGCGATTGTGCAGTTATTATCTGTCTATGGAACAACTCTGGTTCATGGGGGGATGTTAAAGACTGTTTGTGTGTGTGTCTATGAGGGAGGATTTGTATGTCTTCATTTTTCTATGTGGGGGATGTGCGTGTGAGAACCACTACAGTTTTGCACAAAGGGTTCCTTCTTTATTCTGGAGTCAGCACAGTGTTTATCCCCGATGTGTTGGTTACTAATGAAGGTCAGACTTTCTGGTCAACAAGTTAGCTTGAACTTGAATGATGATGGACAGATGGACATTTGGAAAACAGTGTTTTAACAAAAAGGAACAATAGGAATCCAGGTGTTATCCTACTAAAATGTCTCTCACCAACAATTCAGTCTGTCTCTTGGCCAACGTATGAGATGAAGCACGTCAACACCAATATGACACATAGAAACTGATAAAAGACAAACCCACTCCGAGTAAGGTTTTAAAGACTTGTTTTGCATTAGCTCTGGGGTTAAGCCATCCTGATAGTCAACAAGATTAGAATTAAGTGAGTGAGTACCTACTTCTCAAACACATGCAGTTCATTAGACAGATTTTACACAGAATAAAAGAGAAGTTACTAAAAAGAAAGAAATAACTTAAAGTAAATACTTGCTGTTCAAGGGTTGTTTGTACTTGTAGTTTAGAGAAAAGACGCCATCTGGACAACACATAACTGCCAGTTAATTGAATTTGGGTTAAGAGTTTCCAGAAAATCTGAAGTCAAGTTCTATTTACTAGATTTCTTCTAGAGCTTTTAGCTGCATCCATTTTCAGCCTTGTCGTGATCTAGTTAGTAGACTTTGAGTTAAACAGTTTTCTGTCAAATCGTCATCATTGATGTACAATGACGCAACACAAGTTCTCCTAAACATCATCTGTACATTTTGCACATTTATGTTCAATGCAACCTCTTTCTTTTTTTACAACTTCCTCTTACTGTGTGTATGTACCATTATAAGCCAAAGTAAATTCCTTGTATGTGTAAAACCTTCTTGGCATAAAACCTGATTCTGCTCCGTTACCAAATCTGCTTTCATAACATTTGAGCTTCAGAATGGGGAACTCACAACATTTGACATAGATGTTAACAAAATTCAGAAGCTCACTGCGTTTATACAAATAACTACGGTAGTTTAAAATCAGGGCAGCTTGAGAATTCCCAAATCCCTCCAAATCACCAGTTGTTTTCCAATCCATCAGTTAGATAACCACAGGTGCTCACACCTCTGTTCCATAAAAACACTGATTGTGTTGCAGGAACAGCTCCCTTATCACTGTACTTTACAAAGTGTACCTGTCCCATATTGGCACATGTTCCAAAGTGGGTCAGGGTCAGGGAGTAACACAGGTGGTAGTGAAACCTGTGGGGTCATGTTTTAGTGGTTGTTCAGAGTGTTACTGTTCAGACTGTACCCATATTAAACTGATACGGCGTTGTGCCTGTGGTTCAGTGGAGGGCTTCTATGTTCATTTAAGTATAGGTAACTGCCATCTTCCATTGGAGCGGGAGTGGTTCAGTCTGTAGGGGATTGGATTTTGGACCGAAGGGTCACTGGTTAAAAACATGATCATTCCTAAGTTGAGTTATTTTTTTTTCTCCAAAATTGTGCGGTCATGATCTCACTAGTGAATGATTCTAGATTCTAGTGAACTTTTCTATTAACGCTATGGGTCCACTGTGTTGGGCAGAGACTGGCATAAGCACAAATCCTGGATTAATGTTGACAAAATCAGTGGTTTGAGCCTACATGTCTACACTGTAGTCAAATGGTTTTATACAGAGAAAAGGGGAGGGTGAGGAATCCTTTTAGCCTAACATCGGATTAGATTAATTTCACTACCAACCGGGAATAGTCACTGCCTCACTTTACACTGTTTACTTCACGAGTATTACTATAAGATGCTAATTAGCTTTAATCAAGCGCGGCTCATAAGCAGTTTTGTGGAGTGCTGGTTAATACATGTCTTTTGAATTGAATAATGTATTGATTCCTCATCTTGCCAAGGAAAGCAATCATTAATGTTTTTCGTTGGGCAGCAGGAAGCACCTGAATAAAATCAATAGGTCAGCCTTTGAATGACTATCCAGGATAATATTAAACAAGATGAATCTTTCTGAGCAGATTTGTTTAAAGGTATCCTTTTGAGTTTCCTTTGAAAAAAAAAAAGTTGATTTCATTCAGTAATCATCATTTATTTTTCTCTCTTCTTCTTCAGCAAAGGGGACTCTGAGAGAAGACACCCTGAGGGTTTTCCTCCAGCAGATTGCTGCGGCTATGCGCATCCTCAGCAGCAAAGGAATCATCCACCGTGACCTGAAACCACAGAACATCCTGCTGTCGTACGCGGGCCGCAAGAGGTCCAACATCAGTGGAATCCGCATCAAAATAGGTGAAAGAATCGGACAGAAAAAGTCCTTTATTGGATGTTTCGCATACTAGATTTAATTTCATAATGATTATGTATCTAGTGTCTTGTATATACCCATATCTAATGATTTCCTAACTTTGATTAAGCTTCAACTGTGTGAGATGACTGAAATAAAAACTATTTAAAGCGTTTATTGATTCCAGATTTAAAGTAACATGACAGTTGTATACATATTACTCTTAAATAGCCCCTTAAAAGTAATGTTCCCTTTATTTGGTTAAACTTTTAAATCCAGAAGCCAAATCATATGACTTGCACTGCAAAACACTTTCAGTCAGAAGCAGAATAAGAGGCAAACGTCCACTGTGTATGAAAAACAAATATTTGCTTCAATCTTTTTACCATCAAACAGAAAGCAACTATGCTTTAAACACTCATTATAAAACGGACAAGTCAAATCAAGCAATCTGATTGGTTCTTAGCCGTGATATACTGAGCGTATACCACGGGTAGAATTGTAAGTTACTTTTCACAACAAGTCAGTATCCCTCCGCGTCTGAGAAAAACAGTATACCGTTGGGCTGAAAAGCAAACTGCCTGCAGTTTGCTTTTCATACTGGAACAAGAAAGCAGCGGAGAAGTAACGGGGCAGAAGCTGGGCAGAAGCCCTCCTTTTTGACGCAGCGGTCCAGACATAGACATCAAACGGCAAAACATATTCAGTGTGCAGTTCCTTTGGCATTAGGGCAGGGATATCTAGATACTTTTGAAGGTTTAACATAATTAATTGTGCTACTTTTNTCAGTATCTCATTCAGCTCGCTGATCCAGTAATGAGAGACCCGACAGTGAAGAATAAATATATGTATAACTAGTTTAGCTTGTTCCAGAGGTAGATAAAATAGCTAAGTGTGTTAGGTCTAACTCTTAGTGTGTGTGTGTTGCTCCGCTCACGGGTCCGTCTTTTATCTACCTCTGGAACAAGCTAAACTAGTTATACATATATTTATTCTTCACTGTCGGGTCTCTCATTACTGGATCAGCGAGCTGAATGAGATACTGACGGGCTGTCAGGAGAGAGAGAGAGAGGGGGAGAGAGGAAAAGAGAGCGCTTCCGCTCATTTCTCCCGTGTTATTCTCCAAAGTTAATGTAAACTTGAATAATGTACTTCATTTGAATGTAATAGTTATGTTGGTTGTTGTTTGTGGAAGAGCCAGTGAATGAGCCCCATTAACCGAGTTTTAAACATCACTTTAAAATGGAAGATCCCAATAGGCCCCGCCCACTCGATCGGATCGGCATCGGCCGATACTGATTCCGGCTGATTAACTGAAATATAATAACATTTAACTGAGTATAGTTGAGATTTTGACGAGATAAGATTCCTCATTACAAATCATGTTTATTTTTTCCAAATTATAACTAAAAAAAAGAAGAGAAAAGAACAGTCGATATTGAAAAAAATCATTACACTCTTGCTTAATACCCAGTCAAACACCATATTTAAACATTTTTTAACAAAGCCAATGAAGATACAGCAGAATAAAACCATCTTACTGTGTAATTTTAAAACGTAATATTGGTATTCATATTAATCAGAATCAGAATACCTTTATTAGTCCAACAGAGGGGGAAATTTGCCGCGTTACAGCAGGAAAGAGCCACAGACAGCTTAGTGTTGCATAATAATATAATATAATAAACAATATGCTAAAAAAGTACTAAGTTATAATATAATAAACAATATGCAAAAAAAAAGATTAAAAAGTTACATAATAAACAATGTAACTTGATCATAACAGATGCATGATAATATTGAGCAGTAGAAATGAATATGCTTAGCTTAGTGATGTAATCGCATCGAAGTGAACATATAACGTGGGCCTACAACATAACAGCATAGGCTCAGATAAATCTTTATGGATCCCCAGTGGGGAAATTCAGCAAAAGTAAAAAAAATAATAATTGAAAAAGTGTTAAAAAAATAATAAAATGTACACATGTCAGATAAAGAAATAGACGGTATACAAGAGCCGAGTTATGCTGAGTCATCTGCTTATACATGAAATAAGACAGAAGTGATTGACATGAGCTAGCAAGACACAACAACACCAATCCAGTGTTTTTGGCAACCTTTAAACCATTCTGCATAAAAACAAATGTTACCATGGTCTGAGCACTAGCTTCTGAACAACCCACGTGTGACCACAGGGAAATGGGCCTGTTTGTTTGGTTGGTAAGTAGTTCAGTCTTCCAATCCTATACAGTGTTTTTCTCCATATAGAGCAGGTCTTAGTGGGGGATAGGCCACCAGTATCCAATCAGACTGTATGTGTGTGTGAATATATCGGTGTGTGGGGAGGGGCAAGGGGGGGAATTACATAATGAGCATGTATTCAGCAGCACAATCTGGGGAAGAAACAGGGGGGTAAATGCTAGTGATGACTCGTTTTCAATGAAGAACTTTGTTACACAATCACACACACTTAGCCAACGTCAGAGAAAAATGAAAACAACACATTGTGGACACCGAGTACGAGAAAAGCTGTCATTTCATTCAGTGTGTTAATTGTCACTTTCCTGCTGTTGTTGCCTCCGCTTGGCTTGTTTGCCGTGAAGTGATATGCATTTCAAGAGGCAGGTGGTGACAGCAGCACATAAGGCAGCCTTTGTTTACGAGGCCTTGGAGGAAGTAGCGGCTCGCAGTTGTGAAAGTGATGACCGTTTTAACTGTTTACCCAAACTAATGTTTTCTAGAAATTACTGTTGATATAAAAGTTGTTGAACTTTGGACGTTCTAGCGTTATCGGATGAGGGCTGGGCTCCAAAATATTCCCTTCCAGTGCAAAATATTCCAAAACAACTGTGATATAAATAGTTCCTCTTTCATCATACGCCTGTCACACTCGTGTTAGATGCTGTTTCACAACACAAACAATCTGCCGGCACTGGCCAGAAGGATGAAAGGATTTTATTATCCAGAGATATGAAAACTGATAATAAGAAACACACAAAAACACTCCGGACTGCCAGGAGTCAATGTGAGCCAAATCAGCAGCGTTCAGTTCCAGCTTCACACTCCAGCTCCAGTGGTTATGTAACAAAGTGGGGGATGGGATATGACCAAACTGGAGCGGGTGGAAGTGGAGAGTAGCGTGTTTTTACTGGGGATGGGGAGGTTAAGCATTTTCAGTGAGCCAGTGTACTTTTGTCACGCAAGCAACGAGAGTAATCTGGGGTATTCTGAGTAAACTGGTTTTAATTAAGACTTAAGTATTTGCTTGGACAGAAGAACACGGAGTGACGGATGACTGTCAGTGGGGCTCAACCTTCAGTCCAGAGGGGAGGATGTTTATTATTTTATAGGTGTATGATGTGGTATCACACAGATTTGCGACCACATACAGTACACACACACAAAACACTTTGCATAGAAAGGAACAGAACATCCTATGATAGTCCACACGGTGCGGGAATAAGCAGGAAATGAGTTACCATTTTAGCACTTCTGCGCTCCCGCGTCTCAAAGTTAATGTTTTTTGGAAAGAGTTTTTGGTTAGATGCCTGAAACAAGGTCTATACAAGCCTAACTTTTGCAATTTTACAACATAAAATAATTCCGTAAATAATCCGAGTGGTGTAGTGATGACTTCTTTTTTTTTAGGCCAGACCCGGAAGTTAGCAAAGCAAGGGATCCCACAACGAAAAATAAATGGGATTTCCCAATTGGATTTCGTTATATCAAAGAAAATAAGCTTTGTGGCCAACACACATTCATGATACTTAACAGGTCTTATTCAGAAGGATAATATCAACATACTAACACCAATTTGTGATTTTTTTAAAGCGTAATTAATAATGCAATTAGTAGGAATATAAAAGCTAACTTAATGCTTTAAGGCGAGACACTACAGGTGAATAGGGTAATTTTTTTAACTTAAAGATATCAGCTAGAAATTTCTCCAGTTAATTACTTACAATAAGGCAATTGTTTTTTGTATTACAAGTTTTCAGAAATAGCATGTTTAAATATGCAAATTAGCCATAATCTCATTAAATATGCGCATATTTTAACACATTTCAGGAAACGAATTTTTTTTATGGGATAAAGCCAGGTTCAAAATTCTTGTTTCATTTTGTTGTCATATTAGAATTGAAGGCTTTTACAGAAGGGATTTTTTATATCTCTTTTTATCACTAAATAAATCAGAAAATACTGTCAACAGCCCTAAAATATCAATTTTCGCCATGTTTTTAGGTATAAAATGTTATATAACTCAGGCTATTAATGATAAATGAACAAACCCTTCTGTAAAAGCCTTCAGAATATGGATAGGAATATAACTGGAAGGTTTGGTGTATGTAGGTGCTACTGAAGTGGAAATTTTGTGCTCAGAGTAGGAGAAAAAACTCATTTTGAGAAAACGACCTTTAAAGATATGTATAGTGGTCTGTGTCTGGTCAGACACCAAACATGAAACGAATTGACAACAGATCAAAAGACTTGTCTATACTCCTCGACACTCCCGAGACCTCACGATTGTCGATTGTCGACTACAACCAAAACGCCAAGCGTAACTTCCTACTGCAGTGTCTAGGCGGATGTACGCAATGATATCAATGATGGGGTTCGATGATTTTGACATTACCTTTGCCGTAGTATTCACTCGGACCGATGGTTCCGGATTGATTATGGCATGATATCAGCACGATCCAGGACGTACCTTTACACGGTAATCATCACGGAAAAATCTGACGAAGAACAAAATACTGTCATGTTCGATGTCTTGTAAGTGTTAACTCCCACATCCGCACCACTTCATATACTTAGGATATTTGATCTTTCTGAACCGTAAACTGAGGAAGACCAAGAGAACAGAGTTTCACTTGACAGATAAAACTTGCACAAACCCCATTCTTCGGACTTTTATTTAGTTGTTCTAAACGTCCGTTTATTATATGCCGTGATTTTTGAGGTGACAGTATTTTTTTCTCCTACGAATTTTTCACTGAATTACTTTGATGAATGTTGATCACGACCATGGACCTGAGTGTAAGTCAAGTCAGGCCTGAGTTCAGGTCTCCAAGTCCAAGTCCAGGCCTGGACTTGAGTACCGAGACACAGTTCAAACGACAACTCATTGAATTTCACTTGAATAACACTGCGATTAATAGTTAACTTTTATTTGAGTATTAGTTGAGTTTAAGTTTGACAGT